CCCGACCACGCCCACCCACCATAGGGTGGGTAGGTGAAGGGGTGAGGCGGGGGGGCCTAGAATTCCCAATATTACCCTACTGATGTCTTTACGGATGATGCCATTGTCATTCTTCTTTATTAATACCATCCCCATCAACTTGATTTTTAGTTATTACACCCAAGAAAATAGTTATAGTCCATAATATTTAATCAAATTCTTATGACTATTATTCAGTTACAATACTGTATTTATTTATTATTGCTTCTGATGAATAAATATTTTCACTTTAATATCTTAATAACTGAATTCATATGAAATAGCAAATTATGGTGTACATATCTATAATCGAGATTTATCAGGATTATGAAAATGGGTTTACATAGCTTTNATTTATCAGGATTATGAAAATGGGTTTACATAGCTTTCTGTTCTAGCCGTCGCTCAATAGCATAATATATCTAGTTGTATTCTATTTAAACACGAGTGTATATTATAGATGTATAGTATAATATAATATAATNTTCTGTTCTAGCCGTCGCTCAATAGCATAATATATCTAGTTGTATTCTATTTAAACACGAGTGTATATTATAGATGTATAGTAGAACAATTATTAAATATTATCAGTATATAATGTTTTTGACACACGTCGTAAGGTATATACTGTTCATACTCAATAATGTGTGTATAGATATACATATAGTAAGACAATTGCTAATAAGTCTACTCTGATCACTTCATATGACTAGGAGAAATTATCGTAGATACTTATGGTACGCCATAAGTATAATATACTTAAATTATTCATGTATAATACATATACTATACATGCAAATAGATACTTTAGTATATTGATCTCTGTTGATCGATTCAATCTAACCCGATCATGATCGATAGAGATAGACTAATAAATATATAGGGATTACGTACTATGTTAGATATAAGAGCTAAATAAATTTTCACAGCACATATATTTCCAAATAATAGACACTTTCCTATACCACCTAGTACAGTATTTTCACTTTAATATGTCTATAATCACCTGTTTATACGTATAATTATTCACTTATAGAAAATGAGATCTTCACTTCTTTTTCTGTTGATACTATTACATATGCCTTGTAATATAAGACAAAGTATTTTCATACATGAAAATCATATATGGGAATTTAAATTTTTATAAAGTGATTATGTTAAGAAATTGGTTTATTAATAATTCTTAAATAATGTGACTATTAAAAAATATTGTTATACTACCTGTTACTATTAATAATGTAATCAAGTTTTAAAAAATGTTTAACTTTGACATGATTCCTAGAAGGTATTAATTTTATTATGATGTGTTTGTTGCTTATTTGCCTAAAAATTCATATATAATTACTGAATAATGAATGTGACGTAGATCATTGTATATAACGTTATACATGTGAGAGAGTGAAGTATTAGCTATAAATAGGTATAGATGATTAAGTATAGTTTTTAATATAAATTCCCTATCTCAACACCTCGAGATATATGATTTGTTTACTTGTAACGCTCTATGCTGAAAAAGTACGCATACAAACTATCATTTATTCAACTAACCAGTGTATTCAATCATAAACAAAAAATAAAATGAAATAAATGCCACAAGTGAGTAAAATAAATTGATAATAGTATTTTTCATTTATCGTTAACATATATTTTATATGTAAAAATAGGAGATTACATTTTAAATATTGTGATTGTAAAACAATATATCAAAAAAGGGCATTATTAAGAGATGTCTACCATAACGGACAATATATAAACATTTGGGCCGATGTAGTGGTCGAATATTTCATTAATCTCGTTACACATAACCTGAATGCTTATAAGCATACGCTCGTCAACCTAGGGAGAGGAAACAGCCTGATATATACATTATATCATTATATAATAATAAGCAAAAAAATGTTTTAATTTTTAATTTTAATTAAGTAATGTGTCGTAATATTAATAATGAATATGATTATACTATATGCGCTTGTGTAAATGAAGCTGCAAGTAATAGTGATACTTCTATTATTAAACCGATCCGAGATAATATATGTATAAACGCAAATTGCATGTACTATTTAATTTTAAATTATCCACGGCTAATAGAATGCCGATATTGCGATGCACAGCTATTTAAATAACATGTATATAGTTAAAATGTGTAAATAAATAAATCTCTAGTTTTTCCAAAAAGACATATGTTTTTAAATTTTTTTATAGCCTCCCAATCTATAAATTGATATTATTTAAACAGTATTTACAATTGGTCATTAATCTCGTTACACATAACTCGAATGCTTATAAGTATATTTTACACACATAATTGTGTGTGTGGTTGGAGAGAGTGTGTGTGCGAGTGAATAGTGAGGTGTATAACTATCAGCCTACATGGGTTCAATTCTTTCTCTTTCCGCAATATAAAAAAAATTGGCGACCCTACAACATTAAATTTGGCGTCTCAAGATGAGACCACTCCAACCACCATTATCTTATAATCAATGGTTAATGGAATTAACCAGTGTTGTAAAGGGATTATTGCCATTTTTAATTGTTTTGGATACACGGTTACGATGGGTCACCCATCCAAGATGTTAAACAATCGACTACGCCCATTTTCATTGATTTTTAACGTGTAAATCATATGTCGCTCTACACCGTGTTTCCAACAGTCTGCGATCTTTTTTACGATATATGTAAAGTTCGGATGCGATCGAATCACGCAGCGCAGTCCGTCGGGCGAAATACGCTCCTGGTCGCGCGATCAAATTGTGTGTTGGGTTTCATGATGGGTGCACGTTCAGTTGTATCGGGTTATATTACAAGGAGTTAGCACCACTCCTCTTCTTCCACCTTTCCATTGAATGGTGTGAGGGGTATGACTGCCATATATTTTTGATCTACTATCGTAGTTGTGGCAGAGAGAGAGCAGAAAAATCGTCGTCACCGAGAGAGCCCCTTTTTTGGCGAAAAATAATTTTTTTATAGCCTGCAAAACTGGTTTAGAAATCTCTGGTGAGATTCATAAAATATTTTTTGTGTGAATTTAATTGGTAAATTTTATAGATTCTTTTACGAGGGCGTTTTATGGAATGCGTAAGAGAGTGTTTGAATCTTGTGTAAGGGTATTATTTTTTTTATTCTACTTATCCACGGGGAACACTGATTTGGTGATATATTTTTATGAAGTATATGTATTATTTATTTCGGGTTCCAGAGATTGCCACGAACTGATGATGCCCCGACATTCATTTACTCCGACACTGTAAAAAAATCCTCCGAATACATTTACTCCGACAACAATTACTACGAATACCTGGTTATAAAAATTTGGATGTTACTACGACGACGAATACTCCGAATAGGACTATTAATTGATTGCTCCGAATGAAATTAGCTCCGAATATCGATTATTCGCGAAATCGATTAAAAAATTATCAAATTTCGGAGTAGATGAATATCGTAGCAATATATTATCTGATGGAAAAATATAACCCTTATCACTAATTAATAAATATTAATTAATATAATAAAATAGCGTTATAATTGATTACTGTCTATTAACGAATAATTATTACAATAAAGATCCCCGAAATGTATCCGACTTTTGATAAAATAGGTACATAAAGGTAACATAACTGGTGTGAGCCCTTAAATTTTTTTTTGGAGGGGAAAGAAGAGCGATTCCAATTTTCAGACGTAAAATCTTTTTTACCTCTCCTTAATAGTGCTTATTATAACATTGTAAGCACATTAATATTATAACATTCAATTAGTTTAGTTAAAAAATATAGAGGTACGTTTTTATGATAATATNGTTAAAAAATATAGAGGTACGTTTTTATGATGATAGTATTCGTTATTAAACAGATGCGTTTATAAAGATATTCGGTATCCCATTCTCTAAAACTGTCATTACAATTAGTTTCATATGAAATCAAACAAAAATATG